TGGATTTTGTTTTGATTCCTCCCCCCCTTCAGGCAAAGTCAATAATCTCATCAAAGTTGATGCTGCAAGTAGGGTTGGTGCCAGAGATCTCTGTGTTAGGGTGTGTTTGTGAAGAGGTCTCATTTGGAGCTATAGGATTACAAAGCAATGCTGAATGATTTGACCTTTTTGACTAGAAGACAGGGCCAGCTGCAACACCAGAGATGCCCTTTGGCACACTGGTTAGGGCACAGCTCTAGAAAAATGAAGCAACCAGAACAATCACTAACTGCCTTAACAGGAAAAAAGAGCCCATCTCATTCAGCTGCTTCAGTTTTGAAGTCTGTAATCACACAGAGAATGGGCTGTAGGATTTAATTAGCTGAATGTCTTAAGAGAGCTGTTTCAGGGATGCAGAGGGCAGAGGCTCACATTGCTCAGCTGCACACTGTAGCACTGGTGCTGCCATCACAGCAGTGCTCCGGCCCCGTGCACTGCGTCTCTGCTGCCATTACTTGTGTTGCAGCACCTGGAAGCAGGAGCTCTGTTGGTTGAAACAGGATGCATGCAGGTAATAAAAATGCAGGCCTCACTCAAGAGACAGTTTCCAACTTTCCTGATGGAGCTGCTTTTCAGGCCAGTGCAAATGAATGGATGAGATCCATGTCACAGGTCAGGGAGCTGGGCTTGTTCAGCCTGGAGAAGAGAAGGCTCTGGGAGAACTTAGAGCAGCTTCAGTGCCTTAAGGGGCTACAAGAAACCTGGAGAGGGGCTTTTGACAAGCACCTGTAGGGACAGGACAAGGGGAATGGCTTTAACCTGACAGAGGGGAGATTGAGATGAGCTCTTAGGCAGAAGTTCTTCCCTGTGAGGGTGCTGAGGCCCTGGCACAGGTTGCCCAGAGAAGCTGTGGCTGCCCCATCCCTGGCAGTGTTCAAGGCCGGGTTTGACAGGGCTTGGAGCAACCTGGTCTAGTGGAAGGTGTCCCTGCCCATGGCAGGGGGTTGGAACTGGATGAGCTCTGAGGTCCCTTTCAGCACAAACAAGCCTGTGATTCTGTGATTTATCTCTCTGCTTTTCCCATACTGCAGTATGTTGTTTCATCAGCTGCCCAGCTGTCTGGTCTCAATTTATTACAGTCTCTTGTGCTGGCAATGCCAGTCACACGTTAGATAACTGCTTGCAAATGGCTGCTGTGATTACTTTTTAGCTTTCATCCCAGTCAGTGAAGTTTTATGAAGTATGCAACCTTAAATGCAGGGAAACTGCAGAGCTGCTGTGCTCAGGCTGGAGGTGGATGCAAAGATGCCTGCTCTCACATAGAGGGGTCCCAGAAGGGAACTTGCACTGTCCCTGGTGCAGTTGCAGAAGGCAGCAGCAGATGTGCACAGACGTGCCCTGATGACCCTGGGCAGCCCTGCCTTGAGTGCACAACCCATCTGCCCATCTGAGGCCTGTCAGCCTCAGGAGGTGCTTCCCTGAGCCCAGTCCTGTGTATTAGTGGCCTTATCTTTGGAATTACAGAGACCTCAGCAGCAAAAATCACCCCCCGAGTCCTTCAGGGAGACAGGTACCTCCTGGAGCAGCCAAGTGCAGGGGAAGGAGCCTGCCCTCTTTCATGCAAACATCCATTTCCCCTGGCCCCAGGAGGATAAAGCCTTGCAGGCTTGTGAAGGCGTATGAAACAGCCCCCCAGAACAACTGTCCTCCTTTCCCAGCTCTTGCAGCACCCACTGGCTCTTCAGCTCCCCAAACCCCCTCTGATCTAATAAATAACTTGCTTGATGTGCCCCAAACCCAGCAGTTACAGTTAGAGCATTAACATGGATGGGTTGTTACAGGCAGGCACGAACAGGATATGCCGGCTTGCCTAACTAATTTCAAGATGACACCCAACACATAATTTTATAAGAATCTGCCCAAAAGCTGTTAAAAATATGACCAGTAACTGCCCATTTCACTGGGACTGAACTATTTTTCTGTGGTGGTAGAGAGCTTGAGAAATTCCCATGTTTTACTTAGAACATACAAGACTGCAACACATGGAGAAAATTCATGTCCTCTTAGTGCTGAGGAATGGCTTGTAAGTGTGACGTGCCACCTCTAGAACATGTTTGCAGCTGTGAATAAACCCTGTCTTGGAGCACTGGAGACATTGTCTAAAGAAGACAGAATTTCTCCTGTAAAAACCACCTAAAACACCCAAGGAAAGTTGTTTGCAAAGTAAAGTGTAAAGCACAAATAGCAAGGCTGGAGGCTGCGTGTTCAGAGCCTGTAGCTGACCCCGCTCCATGTTAACCATCACAGTTCGAGTTGCTGCACGTAGCAACTACAACAGCAAGAAGGCAAAGAGAAAACTGCTGGAGGAAAAGCGAAGCGGTAAGGACACTGCTTGCTGCACAACTCCCCAACCCACCCCAATCAAACACATATAACCGATACTTACATCCCATTTGATAACGCTGATCCGGTGTCCCCTTGTAACGTCTCAGCAGCGGGCTGCCAAGTCAGCACATCTGGATGTAGTTAGACATTCCTCAGCCATCCAGCGAAACCGAGGAAATCCTCACGGAGCAAAGCAGCGCTCTGTCTCCCGCTCCCTGCATCGTTTCCATGCTGAAACACAGCACAGTTCTCCTGCTGCCGGCCGGGACGGGCGCGTGTGCCAGCAGGGCCAAGACGTTGAGGCCGGGCTCCGTCGTGGCACGCGCTGTAGTGGTGGAAACGACAACCGCACCAAGGGAAGGAGCTCGGGTGGCTTCCAAGCGCTGACACGTGATGGGCAGGCTGAGAGTGCGGATGGGCTCCAGCCCCGCACAGCCCCACGCCAGCAGCTCCCCAGCTCCTTCTGCGCATGGTCCTCCATGGACAGGGACCGGGTGTTGAGGGACTGAATGCAGAGCCGGGACAGGGACTGCCACCAGTTCCGCCATTTGGCCTGTTACAAATAACAACCACAAAAAAGGCTGTTTTTTTTTCTTTTCTGCTGTAACTTTTTTCATTAGGAAATGTACTGATTTCTCCACATTTCCCCCCAGTTTGCCTTTTTTCTTACTAATCCTCTTGTGATTATTGACTTTATCACTGCAAAGGCTCTAAAAGAAAATGAGGTTAGGTCCAGAAGGAAAATCTACTGGGGGGTTAGTTTCTTTTTCTCTTGTAGGGAAACGGTGGGAGGAGGCAGGAGCTGAGCAGCGCAGAGGCTGAGGACAGATGTGAGGGTCCCTCCCAGACTGCAAAAGAATCCTAAACCACACTTTTCCCCCCATTTTATTTGAATTACTTCAAAACAAAATGTTTTTATTTAGAGTCAAATCTAAATTGCCAGTGCTACTGACCTGCCAGCCGACTGCAGCCATCGTGTTTCCTTATCTCTGTGGCTGTTTCTTTGTCTCTTCAACGAGAACAGCAACCCTTACTCCTCTAACAGAGGCCAAAGGTCTGGGTAATGATCCCTTTAGAATGAGAATATTTTAATTTCCAGTGGATTTGTCACAAAAGCAGGTTTTGATCCACTCTGTTGTTTTCACAAACATTCAACTGCTTTATAAGCATAACATGACAGTTTTCTTTGTTGAGCAGAACATCACTGTGAAAAGCTGTCATATGGACGGATTCCTGATGAGTAGCCCTCAGGCCCTGCGTTCCAGTGCTCCAGGCTAGGAAAGCCTTTTCCTTGTGATCCATTTGAAACAGCAGTTCCTTGATGAATTGTGCAGCTGATTGGAAATCTCTGTCATAAATGCTACTCAGCTTCACACTTTCCCTGCACCAAGCCAAGGTACCTTTCTCCTTCTCCACACCAGCAGTCACAGGCTGGTTTTCATCCCTTCTCCATGAGGAGGCAGGGGATGATCAGAAGAGCAGACCAGTGCACACCTTTGCTCAAAGGGGGCTGGCTGTGGAGCGAGGGGGGCTACTTCCTGAAACCATCAGGGGCTCACAGCAGGTATTGCCATTATGTTCCCCCACACAGCTTTTGGGACCTACTACACTTTTCGCTTGCTCGCATGGAGTGAGCGTTAAAGCAGAGGCTCTCATTGCTGTGCAGTGCCTTTGTGGCTGCCATTGCTTGGAGAGCCATCCCAGGAGCTTGGGAGGTGAAAGATTTTTCTCCTTGGGTGCTTCTATTTGGTTGCTGTCTCACCTGTATCCTGTTCCCTGGGCACCAATGCACGGGTGATCCATTTTTGGCAGCAGGGGTGCCCTTAGTCTGTCCCATAGCATGTCACTCTGTTTTAGAAGATTGGTTCATCTTGTTTACTGTTACCAGTTGGTCAGCCCTGTTGACCACAGGTTGGCACACTTTACGCCATGTGCCCAGCGTCCTTCATGCTCTGTAAGGAAGAGCCCTGCTCCCTGTCACTGTATTCCTGCAGGCACTGAGCCGTGCGGTTGGAATACAGCTTTGTGGTGAATAAGAAGGGCTGATCTTGTGATTTCCAAGGACTGTCTGAGATTTAAGTGACTCAGGGTGAAATACTGCTCTGCCTGAGTTCATGGCAAAAGGATTTCTCCAGGTTCAGCAGTAAGGTCAGCCAGTGGCTTCCTGTGCAAAGCCACTGGAGAAGACCTCATGTCCAAACTCCTTGGTTCCCAACCTATGGGGCAGGCAGCTTGTGGGAAAGCTCAGGAAAAGGGAGGCATTAGGATTACAGCGATGCCATGGCCTCAGAGAAGTCCCAGATATATAACAGCACTGAAAGAAACACAGGGAGCTCTGCCAGGTGCCAGGTTTGGGACAAACCTTCCCTTCTGGCCTTCAAAGCAGCAACTGGAAATAGAACAAACATGGTGGCTTAGCTCGGGTTTGACTTGAAATCAGAGCTGTGAATTTGCAGGTGGAGCACTGGCCTTGGTGTGTCAGTAGAAATGTATGCCTTGGGACAGGACCCTTTTGAGCATCCAGACACTTTGGCTGGATGCTCTTCTGAGAGCTGGTGATAGCCAGTGTGGCCAGAACTTCAGAGAACTCCCTTCATACTCCTGCACTAAGTGTTTAATGAAAGTCTCTGAGGCAATTTTCATTAAAAAAAGTTTATTTATACAAAAGTATAGAGGAAAAAATATACCAAAGTAATTTTTACTATGAAAGACAATTCGTTGGAGGTTGAATGTCCTAGATCTGAGTATCCATGGCACTGCAGTTCATAGCTGTAGATGGCTGATACACATCTGATGCTGAATATTACAGAAATTTGGAATGAGAAAGTCAACAAGGGATTTTTCCACTGATGAGTGAGGGACTTAACCACACACCTCCTACAGATTTCAGTTAGAGATATACTGCCAAATCCCTCCAGTGGCTTTAAAATTCAAACCAGAGAAGAAAATTTTTGAGGCCTTAAACTGTCTCACTGTTTGAGCCCACCTCTGTACAAAAGACAAATGGCCAGACACTGATTTACATCGGACAAGCATATCTCACCAATTTTACTTACACACGCCATTATGTGGGTGGGTTAGACTGAAGAAACCCTCTTGACTCCTATCCTAGTGTCTCTTTGGTTAGATGTGTACAATACTAGGCTATACCAGCATTTTCAGTTAAACCAAACCAGGAGTTTAAGTGAATCTGAGGCTTCTTGTTGCTGTGCATGCTCACTCACGGTTTCAGAGTCTGTGGACAGCTGCCAGGGTGTGACTCAGACATGTTTCTAAGGTACCTTAGAGGGAAGGCAATATGGTGACCCAGGCAGCAAGACAGCTTCTCAGTGCTGAACTGGATTTTGAAATGAATGCCAAAATTAACAGGTAAGGAAAAACCCCACAATTTCCTCACACTGGGAAAATACATTTGTCTGGAGCAGTGCCTGTACCAAGCACCTTGGCCTTCTCTGGGCAAGCAGTTTCCCTCAGCCCTAAGCCTATGCACTTTTTTTTTTGCCTTATGTTTTCCATATCTTGACAAAGTATATTCTGTGTTCTGCCCCAACATCCCCCAGATTTTGAACTGAATACAGTTCTGAGACTTCCCAATTAAGGAACTCCAGGAAACTTCTACTTGGAGGCTCTAATTTTTTTCAATAAAGCTCTGTAACCTGCCATGCTGTGACATTAGCACCCCATTTTGCATTAAAAATAATCACAGAATCATAGAATGGTTTGGGCTGGAAGGGACCTTAAAGGTCATCTTAGTTCCAGCCCTGTGCTATAAGGGTGATGGATAATCCAGATATCCATCCTTTCAGTGGTAGGGCTGAAGCTGAAAATTGAAATCTGGGAAGTATTCCTGTGAGTTGTTGACATTTGTTTTTAGACTTACTCTGAAAATCCAGAAGAAAATTTTATGATTCCTTTAAAGTCCAGCTCATGATACTGCAGTGCTTCTGATCAATCACAATGAGCCCATCCTTGTTTTTGAGTCAAGTACTGTTTCCACCTGACAAACTGCTCTATCTAAGCAATGGTGACAAGGGAAAACTGAAGTTGCTGGAAGAGAGCACCTTCTTTATGTGCTGTGATGCTGCATTGTAATACTCAGCAGATGAATTCATCTATGGTGTATTGCAAGCTCCTAAGAGGGTTAAAGTCAGCCTTTCAGTGACTCAACTCTCCAGAAAGCGTTGATATTTTCCTTTGTGACAACCATGGATCATGGTATACTCTCACTGTATACATGTACACTCATGTTTCAGATGCCTCACCTCAAAGTGTTTGTGTTTTAACTTTCACTCTCCTGTTTGTTGCTATCCCTTTGAACACTGTAGCTCAACTATGCCAAAACAAATCATTCAAATTCTCCTTTGGATGGATCTTTTATTCCTTCTGGCAGACTGAAAGAAGCCTCCTTCAAATCTGAAACATTGCTAAACTACAAAAACAATCTCTATCACAGAAAAGCCCTCTTGGATCCCTTCCTGTAAGTGATTTCAGCATGGTTTCTGCTGTTTCATATTTTGTCTGCTTTATTTTTTTATATGCATCTGATTTGCATCTTTATTTGCGTTTAGTATTGTGCTGGTTTGATGCATATTTGATTCTGAACCCCACCACCCCCAGAAAACATATTACTTTTTTCCCCAACATATCTCATTACACAGAAAAGTGCTGTTAGGGGGTCAGGCCAAATTCATCAGCAGCAGCACTGCCCATGGCTTATCTCACACACTAGACATTAGCTAATCGATATAACAGAAGTAAGGGAGTGTCACTTCCATGTCACATCTGAGTAGGTGCAGTACGCGCACAACCAACTTTGCACAGGCAAGGAAGAAAGCAAGAGTGTGCTCCCCTTCCGCCAGCATGACAGCCAGGCAGTCACCAGGGGTGCTTATTATCTAGCTATTATCTACATCGTCTAGCATATAGCACTGAGTTCCTGGTAGTATCCCTAACATATAGCTCTTTCTTCAGTTCCACTTTTTGCATAACTATCCAAGGCAAAAACACACCTCTAACTTTTTCAACAAATCTCTACTGATGTTTTTTCCTTTGTGAGTGCTTCTTGCTTCCCTGTTTAATCAAGTTCCCTTGTCTTTGTACTCTGGTGGAAAACCACTGTGAAATCTTCTTGGTAAAACTAGCAAATTCAGGGTCAAGCCCCAGCCAAATGCCAAATCAATGCAAATGACATTGTATACTCACAATTCAATTGACCTATTTAATCCTAAGGCTTCTGGGAAAATTGTCTCATCTAAGTTTGTGCCAGATAATAAAAAAAAAAAACAACCCTGTTCTTTCAGCAGGAAGGAGTCCGCCTGAGACCAGAATTGAGTTTTTATTGCATCTGATGCTGATGACTGATCTGGAAAAGGCAGCATGAAACAGCCACTGCTATGGTCCCAAACCAACCATGTGCTCAAGAAAATTCCACCATGGAATATCACTGGAAAACCCTTTTCCTTCGAGTCTCTGCAATGAAGGCACCTGTGAATGCTGTTAAAGATGATGACATTCCAGGAAGGTTGACATGAGCTCCAGCACTTAATGGCACTTTTGAGAGGGAATCTGTGAGTAAGAGGGAACATATATGCCAATTGCTGGCTGAGCAAAAAAATACATAAGGTTTACATTAAGAAAAAAAGCATTCATGTCCTCTGTAATACAGTAATAGCAGCAAAGAAGGATTTTGGACTTTAAGTAGATGCTGAATAATAAGCCTTTCTTATTTTGAGCATTAACAGATGCTATAAAAGCTAGCAGTTCTCACTACTCAGTGGTTGCCTTATAACTGTATGAAAGTTGTGCACATGAATAGGTAGTCTGAGAAATTAGAAATACTCATTACAAATGAGACACCAGGCTTATGCATATGTCCTTGTTTTTTAACAATCATTTTTTGTTAAAGTAATATTCAAATTTCTGCCTACTTTTTGTTTGTTTTAAAAATACTGTTTGCCAGGTGGGTTGCTGCCAATCAGAGTGCTCCAGTTTGGCTCTGGCAGGAAAGCAACTGCTTTGATGTATGGCTCCACAGAAGCCTGACCTAAGATCAGCATTGATGTGCTGGTCCTAAAGGCAAAACTGTCAGACATATATCTGCTTCATTTTGGGAAAAGCACTGTAAGAGAGATGGTAAGATATCGAGCAGGAATGAGGGAGAAGAGACTGCAAGAATACTCACACAGAATGGCTTAATAAAAGGTCACAGAGCAACAATCTTTGTAGAGATGGTGCCTGCATGAAGTCCTGCTTCCTTGGAAGCTAAGGGCAAAAAGGAATCAGATTCACCCTGAAAACCTCCTCCTCATTTTTAATACCCGTTTCCTTTCCACACTGTGTACATAATCTTGGGGATTCAAAGCCTGGCTTTTTATCTGCAGATTTACACTGAGGAATGTGATGCTCAGCTCATGTGAGGCATGTGGACCCCAGATGGGTAGAAGCTGGCTGTCTAAATCCTGCTCATCCAGGCTTTCAGCTGACTGATGCACTGCAGCAGAAGCAAAGGGAGCAGCACCAACACCAGGAGCTCAGATCTGAGTCCACACCTGAACCCAAGGTTGTGTTCATCCTTACTGAATTACAGCTTTGACTCCAGTGCAGGATTAAGATGCGAGTTGTGGTTTACGAGGCCATCAGGGCTGGACTGCCTGAAAGCTCATCCTACCGTGACTGCCAGCAGCCCAATATTCATGTACACATGCAGGCTTTGTGTGTGCTGGCAGAGCCACCCTCTGCCGCTGGAATACTTTCCAAGGCCCACTGCTATGCCAGTGGATGGGAAGGGCAAGGAGGGACAGAATTAATGGAAAAGGGTAAGCAAAAATATACTGCAAAAGCATTTGGAATATGTCAAAGGTAATCAAGATGCTGTTGTGCTTCACAGGACCCATGTCATGTTAGACACTTGTTGCTCTGTGCTATGTTATGGGCAAAGGTGTAAACTCTGCTTTGTTGCAGTCTGCATATCATATCATACATCCTATCACAGACTAGTTTGGGTTGGAAGGAACCTCAAAGCTCACCCAGTTCCAACCCCTGCCACAGGCAGGGACACCTTCCACTAGAGCAGGTTGCTCCAAGCCCCATCCAACCTGGCCTTGAACACTGCCAGAGATGGGGCAGCCACAGCTTCTCTGGGCAACCTGTGCCAGTGTCTCACCACCCTCACAGGGAAGAACTTCTTACTAATGTCTAATCAAAATCTCCCCTTTGTCAGGTTAAAGCCATTCCCCCTTGTCCTGTCACTGCATGCCCTTGTAAAAAGTCCCTCCCCAGCTTTCTTGTAGGCCCCCAACCATGCCAGGAGACAGCTGGCTTCTCCCACTGGAACGGAAAGCATGAGTCAGCCCTCGTGTTTGGGTGCTTTAAGCCATTTTTACCCTCAAAATCAGGTAAATCCAGGCACAGCAGCTGATCCCCAATCGTCACACAGTGACAACGCTGCCACAGAAAGGCTCTATGCAGACCCTAACACTTGGGACACACAACTGCATGAACTCTCCTCTCCAGTGACCTCCAGAGGCCATGGGCAGTTGGTTAAGAAGTGAGGGAAGGTACCAGCAGCCAGCTGGTCAGAGATGACTGCTCAGCTCTGTGAGCTGGTGCCAGGAGGGTACTTGATGCTGCAACACCCCTTAGAGCAGCAGTTCCCCTCTACAGACCACAGGTCACTTGCTGACTAGGAGACTACTTTCCTTCCAGCACTGTTTTGCTTTTCACAGATGAGGGCTCCCTCTGGCTGGTGGGAAAGAGCTAAGGCCAAGGTAGTCAGTATGTTACTGTTCACCACAGTCCAGAAAAAGTTGGGAATCATTCTCTGAATTTGTGTTTGTCCATATTGCTTGTTCAGTGCCTGAAACTTGTTCCACAGCAGCAATCTTGTGCCCTGTGGAAGATTCTGACTGTCCCAGGTAAAAGAACACTTTCAGGTGGTGAGAGGTGGGAAGCAGCTGTACTAGAGCAGTGCAGGACAAATGCATTTGCTACAGATGTTGCTTGTTTGAAGAACAAAGAAGGAAAACAATGTAAAATTGACTTTTCCTTAATTTCCCCTTTGCCTTTGCTTGATGTCACATCTGAGGGCATAAATGTCTTCAGTATTAAAAATATACTGCAGCTCTCCAGGTGATGGCTGTGAGACACAGCCTGAGAAACACTGGCACTGTCTGCTTCCCAGAGAAATTCTCTTGAGATGCCTTCCCTGCTTTCCCCTCTCCCCCACTATCCCCTATGCTCTCTACCTGTCTGGCTGCTTCCCTGTGACATTTCAGCCCTGAAGGAAGTCACCAGTTCATGGGTAAGTAACGCTGACTTCTGGAAACAGAATAAAACAAGGAATGTCAGAGGTCTGTGCTGGCTTCTGTGAGCACAGAACCTCTCCCCTGGGCATCCCCACCTGCATGGAAACCTGCAGTGATTTTCAGGAGTTTACATTCCCAGACACTAGCAGCAGTTTCATTACACTAGCTGAAGCAAGAAAGCTCTTAGCAATGCCACTACCCTTTGGGTTCTAAATCAGTCCTCACTGGAATGGAGGCCCAGGAGCTCTTCAGCCAAGCTGATGAGACCATTTTCTTCCAGGGCTGCGATGAGCCGTGCTATTGTGGCCTTCTGCCCCTCTGACTCCCTAAACCTGAGCAGCAGCTGGTAGGCTTGTTCATACAGTCCCTCTCGGTCATACTCGAGAGCCAGGTTATCAATGACAGGATCACGCAGGGCCCGGCAGTTCTTCTGCAGAGAGCGACCCACTTGCTTCCATTTCTTTGACACAAGCTTGGCAAACTTCTGGTGGTCATCTGGTGTGAGCATTCTGTTGTCTGAAAGGGACAGAGGGCAGGTAAAACACAGAGGTTCCACAGCTGGTGTGATGCAGCTTGGCCCAGTCCAAGGTTTGCTCAACATTCTGTGCAGCAGGGAGTCTGTTCAGTGTCCACAGCACATCACTAAACCACTGTGGAGCTGCTCTGCTTGTCCTTGGTGGTTTAACACCAGGGCAGCACTGTGAGCTTGGAGCAGAAGTGCCAAAGCAGCGAAGCTAAAGGGGCTGCCATAGGCAGGGTTCATGTACACGTGTCTGTGCTCCAACAGCATTCCTCCACCACTGGGAAGGGAAAATCAGCTGGAGTAAGCCTCACCACCTAGCGTCTCCGTGCGCTCTCTGTGTAAGCTGTGCAGCTCTGCTCCCCATGTAGTCTGCCAGCCCAGGGCACTGCTGGTGCCTCCAGTGGCAAACTGGAGCATGTGGTGACGCACCTGCTCGTGGCCATCTGCCCTGGCACATCTAAGCTCCCTGCCTTGATTAGGCCTTTCCCTTAATGGGAAAACAGGTGGAAGGCTGATCTGAAGCAGTACTGCAGTATCTTAGGACTACTGTAATTCCTCCCTTATGGGATGCTGGGAACCCCCTGATTTATCTGAGACCCCAATATGCAGTTACATTAATACTCCCTCTTGGGCTTTGAGATGAGGAAGACCAAGGGTGCTCTTGGTCAGCTCTAGCTACTCACCGAACTCTTGTCCCTGAAAGGTGAAGGTAACCTGTGGGGAAAGGGAGTTGCCTTGAGAAGGGCCAGGTAGAGACGGGGAGTTGAGAGATGTGCAGTCTTTTACAGCCGTGCTGTTGTTGATGCTCTGGTGAACAATCAGGCTCTCGAGGCATTCTTCAAGCTTTGTGATTTCCTCATCCCGCAGACGGTCTGGCTGCAATGCAAACAGCATCAGTGATGCGTGCCAAGTCCACTGTCTTGTGAAGCCGTAGATGCTTAGCTGGAAGGTGCAGCTTAAGATGTTGGTGCCAAGAGAGGAGCAATGAGATAGCTAGAGTGCAGATTATAAACTGACCCAATAAAATACTTTAATGGAGTTCTGGCTATAAATGTGTGGATTTTAATCTGTAATGTGATGCGACATAGGCAATTTTGCCCTCCTGGGTTTCTCACATGCAGCAGTGAGCACTTACAAGTTGCATAAAGCTGGTACAAGTCCATGTTTATTTTCAGCAGCTCTCTGCAAGAATAAGGGTGCACCAGAGGCAGCATGGCTTTTCTGCCTCACTCCACATGAGGATCAGACCCACAGAATAGGGTGACCTGATCCAACAGCTCATGGCCACCAAAGCAGGGAGCTCCTGCTGCCCCTACTCTCATTCTGTGCCTCTATTTCTTAAGTTTTGTTGTTCCTGGATCCAATCCAAGACAGTTTTTCTCACTAACCAAGAGAAAACTAGTCTGACCTCCAAAAAGCAGATAATGAGAAAAAGAGACATCAAAAGCACATGGGAAGAGTCAAACCTGGTGATTGCTCTGACTCAGTCTATTGTTTAGCTCACATACAGTAGGTACCCAGCACTGCACTCAGACACAGACGCCTTTGCCCTGGTGTCATCTGTCTGACTGTTGCACTGCTAGGCACAAGTCAGACTGACTTCTCAGTTTGGGGAACTGAGAATAAGCCCATCTCCTTTGTCCAGTCAGCTAGTTCATCAGAGGAGGGAGCAGAAAGCAGAAGTTGACAGGCTATGGGATATCACATGTTGTTTAGTCAGGGCTGAAATGTTTGCATTTCATTCTCTGTGCTTGCAGAAAAGCAACCTGGCACAACATGCTCCTGTGCCTAATATTTCCAAGCAGATGGTGCCTACCTATTTCCCAGAACCATCTGGAAGGAACCAGAGCTACAAGGTGTTGCTAGTTCCAGGTGGAAAAAAAGAGGAGAGGAAAAAGGCAATGAGTTTAATCACATCCAACTGCCTTGGTTGTGAGGAAAGATGTCAAGATCTCACTGCTCTTGCTAGCAGGATTAGAATGTCAGTGCCAAAGCATGCGATGAGCTAGACTTCAGATATTGCTCCCGAGGGACTTTGCCTTCAGAAGGGCAGCCAATTCCTGCTCACAACAGATGCTGTGTCCCCCGCTCTGTCACAAGTTGGTATAATGTGCAGACTCTTTGCACTCAGGCTCATTTCTAGGTGCAGTTGCCATTGCTGCTCTGAGGTGTGCGAGGTAGTGAGGTAGATGCTGAGCACTGGTCATTCCACACTCTGCCTGCCTTGCAGGTGTATTGAGCACACTTGCTTTTGCTGTCAGCTGCACCTTCTGTAATTCCTCATTTTAGCAGTGATAACACACATCTGAGCCACATTAACTGTTATACACAGAAACCACAGTGATTTAGAAGAATCCCTGTAAGCAGTTTTAGGCTCTTTTCTGGTGAAGGTCAGAGCTTACTCCATATTACAGCTGAGAACTGAAGGATGAAGAAGTCATCAAACCAGCACGCTGCTTCAGAGCAAGATTTGCACCCATCTTCCTGAGTCTTGTGCTACTGCTTGTCATTGCTGTCTGTACTCCCTCCCTCTCCCACTCACCTTTTCTCTGTAGATACATTCCAGGCAACGATCCTCATCTTTCAGCATGCTGTCGAGGTGCTCACTGCCAGCCTTCAGCTCCATTTCAAGAGGCACTGCACTTATGGCTAAGGAGAGCTGGAGGTGTTTCTGGAGGGACTCCTGGAGCACTCCTTCCCGGTAGCTCTGCAGGAACTGGCGGCAGTTCTCCTGCTTGCAGAACTTGAGCTGGACTATCAGGTGCGGGTGGCTGCAGTGCACTTTGAGCATGTCCACACCATTTATGCTGCCGGTGGAGTCTGATGGGGAGAAGTGAGCAGAGTCACTATCACACATGAGACAGGCAACCCAGACCCACTCCCATCCACCTCCAAGCCTGCAATGGAGCAGCTTTTGAATTGTCATCTCTGTCCTGATGTCCTCTGGAATTAAAAACCTGTGTGTAAAATCAAGAGGAAAGGATTAGGTTTTTGCTGCCCTGCCTCCATCCAACTCAGTGAAGTATGGTGTCCAGCTGAAGACCTATGGTGCTACACATCAGGTAATTATCTCAACACTGTTTATTAGGGGAGGTTTTAAGTTTGAGGTTCCATTTCCAGGACAGAAATGGTTATGCTAAACTGCTAACACAGGGAAGTTTTATACATGAAAATGCATATTCCAGCTGAGTGCTCAGTCAGTCTTCAGTCCTCGTGACTGGAGTTTTAAGCAGTGATGAAGGTCCTGGAAAGAGACCCAGCATTTCCTCTCCACCCCATGCCTGGAGGTAACTTTTGGCTGGCTGGCACTGAGCCTTCAACACCTCTCACAAATGGGGAATGATGGATTCAGCCATAAGAATTAGGCTGCTTGAGACTGGGCCTTGACTTGTTAAACTGTTTTGCACAAAGAATTAATTCATGGTAAAATCTAAGCAAGCAGTCAGGGCTTTACCCTCTGACATTAGTTAGTCCCGGGGGGAGCACAAGCACCATGGACAACAGAAATTGTCCAGCCTTCAGTCTCCCTTCTCCCAGCAAAATTTAATTTTGATTAGCTGTGCACATTGACCTTGTCTCCTCAGGGATTTTATATGCTGATGATGACAGTTTACAGTATGTGTTTCTCTCTTTTATGCAGTAGAGGCCTGTGTGAGGCTTCCTGTACTGCTTCCTGATCTGAATTAATCTCTTGGCCTGTTGCTGTCAGGGCCATATGGAGGTACCAGCAAAGACTTGCTCTACATCAGGTATTTCTAAACCATTTGTCATGGCATTCTTTAGACATGCCTGGAGGACAATCGTAAGGCAAAGCAGACTTGTGTGTTCCACGTTAGGCAGAATAAGTGACCTGGCATTTAAAAGCATGTGAGCTAACAGTGGCTTTACAGGGTTAACTGAGTCTTGGTTGCATCAGAAAGTCTAGTTTGGACCAACTGTGTAACTAGGACATGAGGCTAGGCACCTAGGAGAGGCATTTTAATTCACTGTGGCTGACTAGAAATGTCTTTTTATCCCTTTCTTCATGGTTTGTTTTTTATGAGTGCTGGTTGAACAAAAGTTTCCATAACAGGGTAAGAGGGCTGGGAAGGGAAAAGTTGCACAGACATGGAAACCTCTGTGAATGTTGTACGAGAGAGCTGCGAAGCTACCTCAAAAGAAAGGATTTTGCATGCTTTTATTCAAGAAACTTCAGCTTCAGATTTCATGTCCTTTTTAGGTCTGAATAAGCAGCTTAGGATTTAGTGGTTTCATAGGCTTTCCCTTAACATGTGAGCAGATTCACGTTCCAATGACACAAAGCAGCCATAAATTGAGCCTAACAGGACAACTGTGTTCAGTTGCCTGCTGGCTCCCATCTTTGGATTGAGCTGCAAGATGAGGAGCCTTGTACTGGATAAACTAGTGACTTGGACAGGGTCATGATTGCCAGAAGAAATTACGGAACAGTTACACAAGCCCCATTAAACAATATGGGCTCAGCTGTGTGACAGGTAAAGAATACCAGGAGAGTTTTTCTAGGCAAGTATTATAAACTCTTCAAATTACTATTACTCTGTGGTACACTTGGTGCAAAGGTGGATAAAGAAATATAGTTTTATGGCCATTTGCATCTCAAGTCCTTTTTTTATGTAAACAGGGTTATATAGCTTTTTCAAGTACATGGCAGACAAAACTAACACCAGAGGCAATGTAGGCCCACTGATGAACGGGATGGGTGCCCTGGTGACAGAAGATGCAGAGATGGCAGAGTTACTGAATGCCTTCTTTGTCTCTGTCTACTCTGCTGCAGGCAGTCCTGAAGAGCCCTGTACCCCGGAGACCTTAGATGAAGTCAGGTCGACGGAACGGTTTGCCTTAGTTGATGAGGAATGGGTTAGAGATCAGTTGAGCAATCTGGACATCCATAAATCCATGGGTCCAGATGGGATGCACCCGCGGGTGCTGAGGGAACTGGCGGAAGTCATTGCTAGACCACTCTCCATCATCTTTACCAAGTCTTGGGAAACGGGAGAGGTGCCTGAGGACTGGAGGAAGGCAAATGTCACTCCGGTCTTCAAAAAGGGCAAGAAGGAGGACCCGGGTAACTATAGACCGGTCAGCCTCACCTCCATCCCTGGGAAAGTGATGGAACACCTTGTCCTTGGTGCCATCTTAAGGCATATCAAGGATAAGAGGGTTATGAGGGGCAGTCAACATGGCTTCACCAGGCGGAAATCATGTTTGACCAATCTCTTAGCCTTTTATGAGGAAATAACACGGTGGATGGATGATGGCAGAGCGGTGGATGTGGTCTACCTTGACTTCAGCAAAGCATTTGACACAGTCTCCCACAGCATCCTCACAGCTAAATTGAGGAAGTGTGGACTGGATGATCAGGTAGTGAGGTGGACTGCGAACTGGCTGAAGGAGAGAAGCCAGAGAGTTGTAGTCTATGGGGCGGAGTCTAGTTGGAGGCCTGTAACTAGTGGAGTGCCTCAAGGGTCAGTACTGGGACCGGTATTATTTAATATATTCATCAACGATTTAGATGAGGGAATTGAGTACTATCAGCAAGTTTGCTGATGACACTAAGCTGGGAGGAGTGGCCGACACGCCAGAAGGCTGTGCTGCCATCCAGCGAGACCTGGACAGGCTGGAGAGTTGGGCAGGGAATAACTCGATGAAATATAACAAGGGAAAGTGTAGAGTCCTGCATCTGGGCAGGAACAACCCCAGGTTCCAGTATAGGTTGGGGAACGACCTGCTAGAGAGCAGTGTAGGGGAGAGGGACCTGGGGGTCCTAGTGGACGACAGGATGACCATGAGCCAACACTGTGCCCTTGTGGCTAAGAAGGCCAATGGCATCCTGGGGTGTATTAGAAGGGGGATGGTTAGTAGGTCGAGAGAGGTCCTCCTTCCCCTCTACTCTGCCCTGGTGAGACCCCACCTGGAATATTGTGTCCAGTTCTGGGCCCCTCAGTTCAAGAAGGACAGGGACCTGCTGGAGAGAGTCTAGCGCAGGGCAACGAAGATGATTAAGGGAGTGGAGCATCTCCCTTATGAGGAAAGACTGAGGGAGCTGGGTCTCTATAGTTTGGAGAAGAGGAGACTGAGGGGTGACCTTATTAGTGTCTATAAATATATAAAGGGGGAATGTCACGAGGATGGAGCCAGGCTCTACTCAGTGGCAAACAATGATAGGACAAGGGGTAATGGGTACAAACTGGAACACAAAAGGTTCCACTTAAACTTGAGAAGAAACTTCTTCTCAGTGAGGGTGACAGAACACTGGAACAGGCTGCCCAGGGAGGTTGTGGAGTCTCCTTCCCTGGAGACATTCAAAGCCCGCCTGGACACATTCCTGTGTAACATTATCTAGGTGTTCCTGCTCTGGCAGGGGGATTGGACTAGATGATCTTTTGAGGTCCCTTCCAATCTCTAGCATATTGTGATACTGTGTGATACACTTGAAGCTAATGTGTTTGTGCCTGTTTATATCAAAAAGGAGCTCAGCTGAACTGGCTAACACTAAGTTTAAAAATCAGCTTCTCAAAGCAGCAATCTCTGTGGTGGTATAAAGACAGGAAATACATCTTCTTTCCTAACCTTTTTCCCTCTTATGTTAACGGGTTTAAACAAACATTCATAAATGGAGGATAATTCATAGGATAGTTCAACTTGGAAGGAAACCCAGGAAGTCTCTAGCCCAAACTCCCATGAAAAGCAGAGTCGGCTCTGAGGTCAGACCAAGTTGCTCAGGGCTTTATCCAGCCCCATTCTGAAACCCCCCAAGGACAGGAAATACACAGTCACTCCAGGCAACTGCTTGACTGTCCTCACAGAGAAAATATTTGTCTTTCTGTCTGGTGCCTACCTCTCTTGTTTCAATTTTTGCCTGTTGACTCCCATTCCCTATTCACCACTATGAAGAGTGTGGCTCCATCTCCCCTCCCTGTAGGTACTGGCAGAGACCAACAGGTAGGTCTTCCAAAGCCATCTGTTCCCCAGGACGAAATGGTCCACCTCCCTCAGCCTTTCCTCATAGGACAAGTGCTCCAGGCCCCAACCATCTTGGGGGACCTCTGCTGAACTTGCTCCACTTCACTGTCTTTCCTAAATACAGTCAGAACCATCTTTCCTTACCCAGGAGTATGAGATTAAAGAAAGACTGTTATTGCGTGAAGAGATGAGATGGTGTGACAAGGTATCAGAAAGGATGGGTACCTGCTAATGCCAGCTTCAGTGCCTTGAACACACTAGGTTTCTTCTGGGAGCTCTCATAGAGAGATGGCAGAATGATGGTCTTACACGTTGACTGGAGGAAGAGATAAGCACAGCCAATCCAAGGAGCAGAGCTGTTTGCCATCTTCAGCACCCTACAAAACACTCAGGTGAGCTGAGAGACCACAGGGAAAATGGCCTGATGCTGGCCAAGTGCTTACAGCACAGATTATGGGGATTTACCCTTATTTCCTAGAGGAGGAGGTGATCTTAAAGCAAGTGTCACCTTTGAGGAATTTACTCTTATTCTGTAAAGCACAGCACAGTGGGGCATGGTATCTCAAAGACTCAGCAGTTCACAAAGCTCTGTTTTAATTTTACATTTTATAGTCCACAGATAGTCTGAACCAAAAGGTTTCAGTCCTCATGCCTCTACCTGCCCAGTCAAGCTGGCAAAGTTTAAAGGCGCACAGTTGGGGTCCTTCAAGGGGCACCCAGCGGTCCTGGTCTGGCACGTTCACACAGACTGAAGCCCTATTTGCAGGCAAAGATGAACCAAAACACCTTTTGGCTCAGCTCCAAGCATAGGTCCTGTCCCCTCTCTGACTGCTTGTGTGTGCCTCCGGCACACCATCAGATGCTTTCCCACAGGTACCCTTCCTTCCAGCTTTCTTCCCAGTTGTGCAAACCCAACAGCCTTCTCTTGGCTGCCAAATGCTGACAGTGTAACTGCTGGACATGACAATGTCCCTCTCTTCAGATGCCCTTTAGCTTGGGGGTGTGAAGGTTTTTTGTCACCAGGGACTGCCAGGCTGAGAAGGATGAGCTCCCATGGACTGGCTGTCCTCCAGATGGTGGCTGAGGCTGGGAACCATTGCCATCCTTTGCAGCATGTCCAACAGAGTACTGGAACATACGGCCCACCCTGTTTCCTTCCTAGAACCTTGAACCTCTGCCCAGAACAGGAGCCTTTTACTTGTTCAGAAAATACAGGAAATAACCAGTGAATTATAAAATTCACACTGAACTTGGACATGAAGGAGCGCCTGCAAGATGAAGGAGGGAGTGTTTCCAGGCTGTGGGCTACACATCACACAGGCTTTTTAGAAAAGCATCTCGTAAAGAAGAAAGAGGAGGATGCACTGCTGCTGCAGTTCAGGTTTGATCTGAGCTTCTAACACTGGGGAGTTTGGGATCTAGGCTCATCTCCTAGTGTCTCATAGAATGAAGGTAACAAATCTGAGTGACATCTTACAGACACGGAATGTTTAAAATATTTGTCCCACAGATCGATTTATCTTTCCCAGCGCAGATGCCTCAGAGCTCCCAACCAGCGCAGAAGCACATACAGTGAGAGGACCCTGTTTCACCACTGCAGCATGGACCCTGCTGCCCCTGTGCTCCTTCCCCACACAGACCAGGCTCTTCCTCCTCAGCAGCTGCCTGGTTCCACTCGGCAATGCTGGAGAGCCTGGAAATGACACCGAAAACTCAGGTAAGGAGCCCTTTGCTGTTGTGCCTTGGCAGTGCTATCCCAGCAAGTGAGCTCCCCAGCCCATTCCCAGACGGCGGCTGGGACCCTCGCTGTGGGTTTGAGCAGCAGCAGCGGTCAAACTGTTTGGGAGTGCTCTGGAAAAGCCAGCCCCAGGCAATACAGTGCGCGCTCACCGCTGCCTGCCGTCCTCTGCTGTCAGGCCGCTTCTCAATTCCTGTCACAGCCTAAGAGGGGAAGGCAGAAGACCTAGGCGCTGGAGCACCCACCGGCCTGCGGTGACAGTCCGTTCTCCCGGTGCCCGCCTGTCCCTCCCCGGGCCGCTGCTGCTGCGAGGCCCCGCTCACCCGCCCAACGAACGCCCCGGCCCCGCTGTGTGCCAGCGGGGCACCACCGGGGAAACCCGGCCCTGCCCTGCCCTGCTCTGACCCGATCCGGCGGGACGCGCCCGCCCGAGCCACCCGGTCCCGCGTCTGCATCTCCGGCCCCGGCCCCGGCCAAGGCTCCGGCTCCGGCCTCTCTCCCGCGGTAGCTCCGGGCCCGCCCGCCGGCTCCGGGCGCTTTTACCTCCAGCCACCGCCGCTGCCCGGCCTCGGCTCCGCCACTTCCGCCTCTGCGAGGCGCCGCCCGCTGCTCCGCACGCGGGCCGGGCGGGTAACGGGGAAGCAGGGCCGGGGGGACCCGAGCAAACCTGCTGCTGCACGAGTGTGCCTCCGCTCCCCCCGCACCTCCCGCGGCAGCCGTGCGGGGCCGGCCAGGCGGCAGCGGCGCTGTGTGCTGGAGAGGCCTGAGCCGGTCCTGCCGTGCCTTGACACCTCCGGGTGTCCACGCACAAGGCGGCGGCTCCGGTGGCTGGAGAGCACCCACCCAGTCTCGATCGCTTGGTCACCCTCGAGGTGAGGATCTAGAAGATGGCTAGAAAGGGCTCTGGTCAGATAGCTGAGCCCGAGTGGGGCTGGCTGCGTGCCCCCGGTCCTTAGTCATGGAGGAAAGTGAGGTGCTGGGATAACCTCTGTAGTTCCTGGCTGAGGGCACTGCAAGGCTGCTGGGTCCCAGCTGGTTCTCACCTGCTTTCCCCCGTGGCGCCGCTAATAAGAGTGAACGGTGAAATGAAGATTGGTTGGGTTAATAATTACTGAGCACTGGAGGAAGTTCAGCTCTTAGACCATCCCTTCCCTGGAGCTCACCTTTAAAAGGTGTCCTCGGTTAATCTGTAACTGCAGCAGCAAGGAGCTGGATTTGGGTCTCCGTTGGTGAACGTCTGTTAGCAGTTTCCTGCCCAGGCTGTCTTTGTCTTGCCTGGAGGTCCTCCCGCAAGCAGAGGGGTAACAGCAGCAGCTCTCTTGTTTGTCCCCAGCTGGTGAGGGCCTGAGGCCAGGGTTTGTACCTGCATGCTTGCTGCTGTCGCTCTGGCTTGGCAGTTTGTGCAGGCTCTCCAGAGACCTGACGCTCAAACAGAAGTGGAAAGCATTCTAAAACATTTCTTATATATACATATGTATATGTAAGACATATAGATTTAATGCTATTTTACAACAACAGTATTTTAACAATATAAGCTCTTTTGATTGTCAAAGCAAAAACGTCGCTGAAAGGAGTTAATCCAGGCTGGTCTCTGAGGTGCTGTGGTTTGCAGGGAGAAGGGCAGGCAGCACCCACCTTCAGCACCAGCACTGCCAGTGCTTCTGAGAACCAGGCATTTACTTGGTGAAAGTTTCATGCATTTAAGGGTTAATGGGGTTAAATGAGCCCAGACATCACAACCTTCCCCTACAAAAAGCAAGCCTGAAGCAACTCCCAGAACTAGGTGGGAAGCACAGGGTGAAGTGCTACAGGGACCATCACCCACGCAGGTCCCACAAGCGTTTTCTCTTTGAAGGTAATCTGTTCTGTATATATGAGGGGTTAAAAACCTGAAAAGGTGGCTGAGACCCGAGTTCCTCTAACTCTGGTGAGTGAAGGCTTTCAGCAACCCACTGGGTGAAGTCCAAGTGTTTGAAAGCACTTGGTGTTTCACCCTCTTGCTTCCCATTTTGGAAGGAAAAATTCCAGGCTGGGGGGGGGGGGGAGGATGGGCTCAGCAGGACTTGGGCGTCAGGATGCAGTGGTGTGTCTTCATGGGGAAGCCTTGCCTGGGGCAGGACAGGCTCCCCTTAAGCCGGCAGCTGCAGTGTGGAATGGTCAGTGCTGGGGCCCTTCAGGGAACTGGGGTGTTAAGTAACTGGTGGATACGAGTGCTGGAGCAGGAGGAGGACGGAGCGCTCCCATCGAGGAGAGCACGGCAATGGGGCAGGGAGGGGGCCTCTCTCCCTGCTGTTATTTTTAGCATCTCCTCCTCCGCTCCTCCCTCTGGGGCGCAGCCGGAGCTGGGAGCCGCGGGCAGCCGGCGCAGAGGAAGAGGGGCTCTGCTCCAAGAGGAACAAGAGGTAGGAGAGCTGTGCCCTTGCCGCGGGTACTGGCAGGGATGCTGTGACGGGGGCTTCGCTCACAGCGCTGGGCATCTCGCCTGAGCACTGCACCCCCTGTTCCTGTTTGGGCCGCGGGCACTCGCTCCCAGCCTGCTTCCTTGTGCTGAGAACTGACGAAGCTCAGCGCCGCAGCCAGCAGCAATCCCCTGCCCTGTGAGATCTGAGGTGGTCCGAACCCTGCCATGGGGGCAGGCACCCAAGTTGGAACTAAACCAAGCCACTGCACTCGCCGGCCATGAACTGTGCTTCTCAGTGACTGAGTCATTTGCTTCATTAAAGTAGCACTAATAATTTTGTCTTTCTGCCTGCCTTCCTGCTCTCAGGCCATGTTTTTAAGCTTTTCCAAGCAATCACTACATCACTCTTACTTTCTAGGTGAGGCAAGGTCCTTTTTGCATGGCTCCAAGGGCTCAGGCTTTAAGGAAAAATATCATAGTGAAAATTAAAGGAGCTGAGCGTGCGAGATTTCATGTAGGGCAAAGAGCAGTTTAACATTTAATAACATGGTTTGGCTGTGGACTTGGCAGTCCTGGGGTAATGGTTGGCCTTGGTGATCTTAAAAGGGTTTTTCAACCTGCCTGAGTCTATGACTTTGACAGACATGTATTACAGGCAGTGTTAAAAGCAGCTAAAAGTAGGAAAGTCTGAGGTGATTGTCAGAGAAAATGCTAAACAGGTTCCTGTGAAGGAAGCAGGACTGCAGCCCTTGGCTGTTATCGCTCTCACTGGGTGGAAAGGGGGTTGTCATTGATAGGATGGTAGATAAGATAGCAGAGCTGCTATGCTCCTGCCACCTCACATTCAATGAGTCACACTTCAAAGCTATTCTAGAAAAACGTGCAGTTGTGTTCCTTTCTGCATTATGCTTTCTGCATCATTACTCCCTATTTCCTTCATGGTTTCATCTCTTTTCCTGCTTCGAGGAAGTGCAGGTTTTCATTCAACTGAAGCCAGTGATGCTGAGATAATCCTGTGATGCCAGGGCCTGGGGCTTCAAAAGCAGGAGGGCATGCCATGAAACTCAGATTGAGATCCACACGCCAGTGCTAGCCTAGGAAGGGGAGTGTTTGCATTCAAAAACCCCTCACTTGTTTATGAGAGGGTTGAAAAAATATGTCATGTTGATGGTTTTATTTGTGTGGGAATCCAGAAGATGGGTACAACCCACTTTGGAAGAAGGCAAATGAAGAAGTTAGGTAGTCTGATGCTGCAAACCTCAGCCTTCTTCCCAGGCATTTATTCTTCTGCATTATATTTCACATGAAAGGTTGATTTCTGAGAACTGGGTTCACAGTAATAAAACATTTTTTTCAGACTTTCAGATCTCATCACAGACAAGAACCATTGTAATTCAGCTGCTGGTCTTTACAACAGGCCTTCTGCATCACTGTCAGTAAAAAATGGATATGTGAGGCTGTTTTCTCCTGTAAAGTATCACCCAGCTTCTTAGGACTGGTTGAAAAAACTGTGCAAAACAACTAGCCAGTAGATTTCCTCATTTTTTTTGTGTTCAATTTAAACATTCAGTGGAATTTCAAAATGGAAAAAAATTTGACCTCTTTTGTGATCCAGCTGCAATGGTTTGATGAGTTACATAAATCCTAATGTGTGTTTGCCTTTTCTTGTTTCGTTTTGTTTTTCTGAACAGAGACTTTTGAGAATTAATTGCAGTTTTGGAAGTTTCTCCCACTTTTATTCCTGGCTGAATCGGGAAAATGCCTGTTCCAGCTCCAGAACTGTGGAACTGCATTCCAGAAGAAATCCTTATCCAGATTTTCCAGTATCTTTCTCTTCGAGATAGATACACAGTCTTCCAGGTGTGCAGACAATGGGCTGCAGCTGTATCTTCTAGCTCTGTTTGGTACTTCACAGAGATCAGGTAAGAGGAATGGGGTTCTAATGTCCAAGTATCTTTGCAGGTGTAACTAGATCATTGTTTCCAGTGCATGTCAAACATTTCTGTCACTTTGCTATGACATTATTGACATTGTGATTTCTATGTGTGGTGATACTACTTTAAATGTATAGCACCTGTTTATATATAATAGAGAAAATTGTGTTATATGCTGTGGTTTTTCAGTTGCTGCTAATGGTTAGAGTTCTGTGGGAAATATTACATTCTTAGATACATTGTTCCAAGTTGCTATTTGTAAATGACAAGGGACAAAGTTACTGAATTGTTATCCTTCTCCTGATACTTCTGATGGGTCTTTCTGGGAACTGACCTCATCTCCCGACTCCTTCAGTATTTGGTCTCACAATGACTCTCCAGGCAACAAGTTCAAAGAAATGCCTGGGGGATCTTGTTGATGTTTGCAGAAGCACTGGTAAAGGAGAGTGTCTGCTCTGTGATCACCAAGCTCAGCATTCACAGTGACTGAGTTTGTTTTACCTTCCAGCTGTGATTCAGAGGATGAGGAAGCCATGCTGCAGAGCCTGCTCCAGTTCCTCAGCCAAATTAAGCACTTGAAGATCATGTTTGACCAATCCAAGGAGGTCAACCGGAAGAATGTGACACGCATCTTGGATGTGTTGGCAAAGCGGAACCACAAGCTGCAGCAGCTGTGCATTGTGTGTCATGGGGAGAACCCCTATTTCTACTCTGGCCAGGACATTCTACAGAGCATACAAAATATTTGTGACACTAAAAACCAGACAGATCTTCAGCACATTGATTTTCGGCAAATGCCTTTCACTCTCAATGATAAGCTTGTTGAGCTCTTAGCTACCACTAACCCAAACCTTCACAGTTTGTTCATCAACAACCGCACCCTGGTGTGCAACGTGGCTCCAGATACCATTAGGAAAGTTCTCAGAGCATGCCCCAAACTCTCAGCCTTGGGGGTTTACTATGCCAGTTTGTCTGACGATGTATTTGAGGAGCTGCTCAAGCCTGAAAGAGCAACTTTCACCTATTTAGACATTTTCTGCGAGCGTCTGGATAAATATATACCAGTGATCTCAGAAGACCTCTGGGCTGCTGTAAGCCAAAAGTATCCTCGACTCTATGTGGACCTAGAGTTTGATCATACGGTCCCTGCTTGCAAAATACCATGCATCCTAAAGCTGAATATACCTGTGAGCACACTGCAACTTAACACCTATAATTACATGGTAAATCAGATTAGGTTTGTCACCCAGAACTACAGCAGTACTTTAAAGAAGCTGACACTGCAAACCACCTCCTCGGAGGACTTAAATTCATCTCTAGTGGATCTGGCTAGACAGTGCAGAAATCTGTTGGAAATCCACTGCTACTGCGTGGTCAGCCAGGAGGTGGTAGAAGCATTCCTCATGCACTGCCCCAGTCTGAAACAGTACACTCTGAAGGTCACCAAGGAACGGCACCCCTGGAAACCAGTAATAATTCAGTGACCAGTCTTTTTAGTTCTCTGTTTCTTTATGTAGCAGGAAAGCCAGATTTACCCTTTGCAGGTTTTTACTGAGGAGCTCAGTAAAACTTCATTTTGATTCTACATTTTAAAAGAACCTCGAAGTCAAGCACTTTGTGTCAGGCACCCAGCAACCACTTAATAGACAGTTGAGGAAGTGGCAGCATCAATGCAGCTGTTTCCTGCCCAGTGGGGTACTTAGCTGTGCAGATTCAGTGAGCTATGGCAATGAACTGTAGTCATCCGATGGAAAATCCATTCTAACCTTGATAGTTCCTCTTTTAGCATTTCAGTGATGGGGAGCTCACCCATTATCAGGTAACTTCCAGATTGGAGGGATAGAACAGGAGCTGAATTATGTTAGAAAATTCAAGCAGAAGAAAAAGCACTGAAGGAAAACAGTTCACCAGGTAGTAATAAAAGACATGTAGTATGCAAATTCCCTTGTCTATCTTGTCTTTCTCTTGCTCAGAAATGCAGATTTCCAGGTTGTAAATTTGAATGCAAAGACCTTTGTTTTTATTACATTGTTAGTATTTCTCAGGAGAATCAAGAGAACTAACAGTTTTTGCATCTGATATCTGCATTCGCATGCAAGTTATCTTGCCTCTAAATTAGGAGATGTGTGTGTGTTGGTCTATTGTAACAAAAATTTTGGTGAATGCTATTTGAATGCTAGTTTCTGAGTTGAAATGACCCTGGGATAAAGCTACACTGGGAGCACCTATTTAGAGCTATCTAAAGCATTTATAATAACAACAACAATAAGAAGAAATAATAGAAATAAAAATATTGTTTTCATCTAGATTCTATGTGTAGCTATTTTTATCACCCTTTCTTCTCACCCAAGAGCCAAATAATTTCTCTTGACAAGTAACATGGGATCTGTAGCCAAACCAGCTTACAATTCTGACTTTTCAAAACCTTGCTGGAGATGTGCAGTCCTGAGGTCTGGCCAGCCCTTGTTCCTCTGTGCCAGCCAAAGTTTAGGACAAGGAATTTCCAAAACAGCAACTCCTGTATCTTCACCAACCAGGCATTGCTGTGCCTGCGTGTCCCAGAGGCTCTCGGCAGTGGAGTCACCCCGGTGAGTTGCCAGGCTCCCAGCAGAAGGTGCTCAGCACGTGTTCCCTGTGCATGACGCTGCGTGTTTATTCACAGTGCTGAGAGATTGGCTGCAGTGCACTTTCATTCTGTGTATTGTTCTCCAGGGCTGGTGATGCCATCGCATTGTGCTGAGTTTTGAAGAGTGCGAGCAGCACTGCTGATGTGACTCCCTGGGAGCCTACTTTCCACTGGCCCAGGATAAAATTGGGTGGTTGGTTCTCTGAACCAGAGAGCAATGGGGCTGGAGTAGCTGGGACACTGGAAAACTATGCAGGATTCACCCAGCTCTCTGGTGATGGATGGATACTCCAGCAATGTGCCAGCCTTCCTAACCAAACTCTGGACGCTGGTGGAAGATCCTGAAACGAACCATCTCATCTGCTGGAGTACTGTAAGTACAGCAACTATGGGGTGTCACCAAGTGCCTGCAACACCAGAAAAACCCAAGTTTGAGGCCTAAGCACTGCATTGCACAGCAACTTCCCTTTGCTTTACAGTGCTGATGGCTAACTGGGGGAGTGAAAGGACTGACATTTCATCAGGAAGCCTTTTGGATATACTTGATATTATTTATCTGCAATATTGCGGCTTTTCTGTTTGAAAGGGACAACTGGTTTGGGAGTATTTTAGTAACAATATATACACACTTCACTTGAAGCATCTTAAAGGGTGTGTGATACTGAATCTTGCAAAAAGCCAGACTATTTGAGGGAGGTTTTCATTTCAATTGAGTCTGCACTTTCCTAAGATCTTCCAGAAAAGGTGCAAAGTCCTTAAAAATTTCCACTGCTGTTCTTATTGCAACTAAGAAACACGTGACATTCACAAATGCCTTGGGAGCAGGCAGCAGATAAACAGCATTCAGACATTGGGCTAAAACTTACAGGTTAAACAGATCTCAGACTGACACCCTAAATCACTCGCACTTTGGAAGAGCTTTACTTGATTTTTCAATGAGTCTGTGTGACGATCATGGTGATGTGTGTCTGTACAGCTTCATAAGCATAGATTGCTTTGCTTTGGCTTCTTATTTGTCACTAAGGCATTAATATAGTAAATGCAATCAGATAATTGGAATTACTTATTTATCCCCCTCATACAGCATTTTGATACCAAATTGTGCTTTTGACGTAAGACTTGTTGAAAATAATGTGATTTGTCTTCAGCAGGGAGTTATAAGTCATATGCATTAATGTGTTCTCCAAAATTGGGAACCTATAACAAGAGCAGATTTAAGGGTGCGAGGGAGGGAAGTCTAAAGCAGCCTTTCTGAGCTTTCTGTCATATATTTGTGTCCAGTAGAGGTTTAGTTGAAGACATGAAGAAGTATTTCAGCTGCATTATTATCCAAGGTAATGGTTGCTTTCTGATGTTGGTATTACATGGCCATACCTTTGAGAACCACCAAGTTTTGGTATTGTGTGTTTCAAATGACGACTTTCAAACTTGGAAGGATGTTCTAACATGCATGAATAGTCCCCTATCTGTTACAATATCATTATTTCTGACTCACCACCACCACCGTGCTTTGCTTTCCTACAACATAACATAGGCTACAACAAAATTTTAACAACATAACAAATTCTGAAACTACAAATTCTAACAAAAGCTACATTCTTGGGAGGTTTTGGTAAGGCTTTCAGATGTCTAAGTTTCCCAGGTTGCATGTTCCCATGTTTCCCATGTTTTTCCCCTTATATCCATCAGTGCTGTTGGAGCTGAGAAACCGTGTGCATGCCTAAGATTTCTGTACACAATCAGAACTCTTAGAAAATAGGACCTATGAAGGAGAAGAGATGGAGAGGAAACGTGATAATGGTTTATATATACACTGAAGGCAGTTAAAAGATGGAAAGCAAAAGTCTGCTGTCTGTGTCCATGGTGGATTGGACAAGCAGTAATTAAACAAGTAGTTTTTTTTTAAATGGAAGATGCAGTTAGGAAGAACTGGCAAATTCCTGATGTAGCTTGCCTGGGCAGGGCACAGGGTGTCTGTCATGGTGTGTCTGTCAAAAACAGTGAAGATAAGCATCTGCCAAGACTGACAGAGCCAATTTTGCTTTGGGCAGAGAAGACTTTCAGAGTTTCTCCCAGCTGGTGCCCCTGCAATGTAAGTCAAGCTGCTGTATGGGAACGAGCTGGTACATGCAGGGTTCATTGGTGAACGCACAGTAACACTGAAGTTTCTAGTGTCTGCAGGATCCCTTTCAGGTGCACTGGCTTCTAAGTACACTGCAGCCTTAAATGCAAAGGAATGACCTCTCAAGAGAGGCCATAAGGAGACGTTCAGGTCACAAAACCCTTGTGCTTCTCATTTCACATCAGCATGTGCAGCCTGGGATGCACAGCTGTATCTTAGAGAGCGTGTGGACAGAAGCACAGGAGAAGCAGGATAAACCAGGTCTGTCCCCAGGGCAGCCTTTGCGGTGCTGGGAAACCCTGGTCCGTGCTGTCATATCTGCAAGCTTGGTCTGTGAGGATGCTTCCAGCATAGAGGTTATTAGTGAATCTCTTAAGTTCTGGATTAGCCTTTGCTTCTGCTGCAGGGGGAAAGGAATGATAGGAAAAACCCTGGTGATGGTCAAAGGGTGCTGTCGAGGCAAACAGTCCTGTACAGTGTTTGTAGCAGTGAACAAGGAGCAAGAAGAACAGCTGACCCAAAGCTTCATGTCTGGGGGCATGCAGGGTTGTTGGAGCTGACAAATGAGCCAGGGAACAGAGGGAATTGAGGAAATTCACACCGTTTGGTGATGAAGATGTAGTGGCCACAAGTAGGGCAGCGGGGTTTGCCATGGATGTGTGGTGGGTCCTGCACTGGGCACTCACGGTCCTCTCTCAAGTACCTGTCTGCTGTGAAATAACGCTCCTGGTTGATACACCACTTGACTGCTGGTGATAATGCTCAATACAGCAGGAGGATGACAGTGGCTGTGCTGGTCTCAGACCCCAGGCTTGCCAAAGTCTTGCAGACCCTGGTGTCTTTGGCTTGCTGTCCCTTGAAACTCGGCTGCAGCTGGGTTGGTAAGTCCCTAACATCTGCTGGTGGCTTTGCACTGGCATAGGTCTCTGTGTCTTGCCTGTCTCTATAAAGCTGAGCGCTTAGATTGCACAGCTGGGTGGCTCCCCTGTCAGCTCCCTGCAGCTTCTTCTCCACAATCAAACCCAGTGTTTGCCCCTCAGTAACATTCTCTGCAAGTTTACAAAAATGCACTGTGTGCTGCAAAGCCTGAAATCATGATTCTTCATTCCTCCAAATTCCACATGCTGCTCCCCCATCCTGAGCAGAGAGGGGATTTAAGCTGGTTTCCGCAATCCCCCTGTACTGGAGACACTGAGGCTGCTGACATTGGGCATTTAGAAAGCATTGTTTAAAATCAATTGAGAGTTCTTCTGTCCCTTATAAAGCTTGCATGGATTGCTGTTTGCAGAATGTTTCAAGGCAGCTTCAGCTTGTTGTATCTCACAGGCCCTCCCTGTACAAGCTGAGCTCTCAGCATGTAGAAAGCCAGGCAGGGAAAGCACATGGCCTGCAGTGTGCCTGTCTCTGCAACAATCCCAGGCAAGTTTGCATTGCTTTGCAGTCATGGATCTCAGCAGTGCAACCCCAGGAGTGGGTATTTTATCTGGTTAATATGGATATTGCTAGCTTGGACTGTAGAGCATAACTGTTAACATACTGCAGGTTGTCCTTGTGTCTGTGTGCTTTCAAAGATAATCAGGAGATAGTGCATAGAGCTTCAGGATCAGTGTGGTGTCTCCAGAGATGATATGTTTTCTTGCCTTGCTGTGTTTCTTGTGCCATGTTTCCAAGCTGCGATCCCTCCAGGACAGCTATGCTTTGGAGCGGATGGGTTGGGTTAGACCTATGCAAGCAGATCGAGGGGTTCAGACATCAGAACCTTTCTGTGAAGTCCACACAAGGGGGCCTTATCACAAGCTAACAGGATCTGAGTGCAAATGTCTGCAGTTTTTCTCATATCCAAGGTTCTCAACTAAGCAGTGGCAAAGCTTAGTAGGAAAAGATCAAAACTGCAGTCATGGAGGACTGATTGTACCAGAACTGAAAGGAGCACATGCATCACTGAAGGATGTTGTCACTGCTCTTAGCTTCAAGTTGACAATTTTGAGAGCATGACTTGCCCTGCTGTAGGACTTAAGGGAACCATCACCTCCTGGGGCCCTCTCATAGTCAGGGATGCTCCTCTGACCACAGCTTTGTCCTTGTCTCCTTTGCAGAATGGCACCAGCTTCCATGTGTTTGACCAAGGACGCTTTGCCAAAGAGGTGCTGCCCAAGTATTTCAAACACAACAACATGGCCAGTTTCGTCCGGCAGCTGAACATGTGTGAGTTCAAACTCCAGAGCCTCGCCATGGGGGTCCTACAGACATGGGGGTGACAGAAAGAGCGGGTGGAAAGGGAGCCTGAAAGAGAAGTGTGAGTAGAAAAGTTGAGATCTCCCATTTACACATTGTTGAGCATTATTGATTTTCCTGAAGAGGACTTGCTTCTGGATCCCAGACTTCCTTGCACTGACCTTTGATTCCAGCATGAAATTTCTGTTAGATTACATTGTGAGATGTACAGATTTTAAGTACCAGGTTTTCTGCTTCTCAGATTGCTTCAATTTGAGAACCTATTTTTATTTCTTTTCCATTTTATTCTATATGGGGCTTTTTCAGCAGCCTGATACTGTGCC